TCCAGCTGATACGAACTTGTCAAAAATGTACTTGGCAAGTTATTTTTATTGACGTTCATAACAAAATACAGATGAAAGAACACATGCAATATATCATGATACATATCACAATACATGAAACATGGCCAGGCCAATACAAGACACAATTGAGGTAATACTCATCACTCTTAAGGACAGACACAAACATTGAAAACAGATTACGTTAGCTGAGTTTAGACATCGTGTAGCAAACATTGAAAACAGATTACGTTTATGCTGAGTTTAGACATCGTGTAGCAAACATTGAAAACAGATTATGTTTAAGCTGAGTTTAGACATTGTGTAGCAAACATTGAAAACAGATTACGTTGAAGCTGAGTTTAGACATCGTGTAGCAGACATTGAAAACAGATTACGTTGAAGCTGAGTTTAGACATCGTGTAGCAGACATTGAAAACAGATTACGTTTAAGCTGAGTTTAGACATCGTGTAGCAGACATTGAAAACAGATTACGTTTAAGCTGAGTTTAGACATCGTGTAGCAAACATCATGTAGCAATATACCAGAGGGAGACACTGTATCAAGCTTGTATAGAGTATGCCCATGTGAGCAAATCTGCCTGGTCTATCAAAGGGAGTTGTCATATACGTGAGAATGTCAATTTACATAGATGTGATTATTTTCTTACCATGCTTACAAAAGCTTTCAGTTGCGTCATATCCATGCACTGATTAATCCTGTATTTGGAACATTTTATTCACTGATATTGACATTTCATTTGACCTTATACTATCACACATATATATCATACTATCACACAAATATATCGTACTATCACACAAATATATCATACTATCACACATGTCATACCATCACACACACATCATACTATCACACATATATATCATACTATCATGCTCATATATCATACTATCACACACATATATCATACTATCACACACACATATCATACTATCACACACATATATCATACTATCACACTCATATATCATACTACAACACTCATATATCATACTATCACACTCATATATCATACTATCACACATATGTATCATACTATCACACATATGTATCATGCTTTCACACACATATCATACTATCACACACATATATCATACTATCACACACATATCATTAACTATCACACATATATATCACACTATCACACACATATATCATACTTTCACACATACTCTGACACATATATCAGTCATGGGATGATAAATATATCTATTCATTATTTTCTTTACACAATAACATAACAAAAACTCTATACAACCCATACCACACATAAGCATATCGGTGGGTGTGTTGTATTCAGTGGGCGTACTGCGATCTAAGACTGCCCATTCATAAGAGTGGCCAGCTCTATTGTGCTGAGCTAGTCTCACTGAGTAGCATAAGCCTGAGTGTAACTATCTGTAACATGGATGTAACATTCCAGGCCGTGGCAGGGACGTTACTTCACGCAACAGCTACCCTGACCTGGCACGGAGTCCCTTCATGCAAATGTGGCTTTTGTTGTAGACAGTCATACCACTTGACGGGAATCAAGCCAAGCTTCTCTCCACTGTAAGGCATTCTCACACAACCTGAACATAAAACTACGGCCCATATAGTCAGTGACCTCATGTTTACTTCTATGAACTTGAGAGAATGCAACCTTTCTCTATTGCCCATTCTCTTAGCACTGACTTTTCAGATCTAAAACTTTATATGATTTCGTTAGCTGTTTCCGCTTCCAATGGCCTTGTGATCTAGTGTATGGATGCCAGACTGGCTCTGCCAGTGATACTTCACGTCTTGTCCAAAATATTTACAATGTTTGTAAATACCATTCATGATTTAATAACTTGCAAATAAAGTCGTGATGTAGATTGCCTAACCAGCTGTAGCGTATGGTAAATGCATTGTTTTACATGAGCTAAAGGGTTATATTAGCTACAGAAATCCATAACATCACTATTACTACCAGGTAACTCATGATGCTAATCAAAAGTCCACTATGCAACAATGCTGTAGAGCAGGACAATGCACCAACCATTACAACACACGCTAATCCCTGCTGTATCAATGTGAGGATGATTAATGCATGCATCCACAGAGATTATTATCCACTACTGTGCTGCATGGCTGTAATGGGTCACAATCACAGTAATTGACGAGTGTTGTCAATTTCACTGCTTCATCAATAATCAATTCTGGCCAGCTGACACAGAAAGTGACGCTTACTGACTAAAGGTGAGATGAGAGAAAGCTATTACTGAACACAATAAAACGATGGTAAGTCTGTGTCGAGATTGGACGACAAATATCGAGGGAATGTAAGGTTGAACGCATAGTATTTACCTAACAAAATGAGGTGCTGTCAGTTGCACTTTTTGTGACATTTCTGTCACAAGGGACTTGTGATCAGCTGATGTTAGAAACCAACTATCTGCATATTCTCTACTTGGATGGAGTTATTGAGTATTTGATGCCCAGACACTTCACTGGAAACAACAGCATCGTGGACCAAATTTACCCAATTGACCATCCAAATGGCACATCTTTTTTCCAAACTTGGGAAGAAGGGAATGCCATGAGATCTCCAGGTTCCAATGTAATAAGGTTATTTAACCAATCAGATTGTGAATACTCCCATATCAAGTCTTTGAACAGCATTTAGAAGTGATACACAATAGTGATACATTATCATTTAAGGGCTGGCTTCCAGTTGTTCATAACTATCACCGCTAATTACTGTGAAGTGTTGGCTTCCATTGTCTTTTGCTAATCACCTATCAGCGCCAATCATCTGTTGGCCTCCCTCGTTAGTTTCCACCTTTTGTTATCTTATTACTTTTGTTGTTCTTACATGTACATATATATGCTCTCTGCCTCATAGCATTCATTCACCTGATGAAGGAGTAAGCATATACTCCGAAACATGTTTCGTCATAATAAAGAAGTTGACATCCATAACTTCTCTCCCTTACTCCATATATTTTACAGTTTTAGTTTTAACTTATATGGTATTATGACAATTAATTAAAATTTTCATGATTATGATTACAGTCACCATGATAACCTTATTTTTATCTTCTTAAAAATTGAAATGTGAAATTTAAATATCAGAAAATGTTTTGTAATGAATCTGCACTTCTACTCAATATAACTAAGTTATTTAGGTCAACATGATCAACAGTGGGTATAAGTAAGCAGTCATGTTGTGTGAAGGTATACATCACGCTCATTTCATGGTAAACGGATACTCAGCAAACAACATTACTACCCCCCATGGAGAGAAACACTGACGGAGGCATTAGGAAACCTGCATATCATAATCTGATACAAAATATCTCTAAGCTGATTTCTTATTGTAAGATGACCAAGGAAAGAGGATCAAACACAGTTCTAAGTTCTAAAGGAATTATGTGAAATGTTTATCAGTTTATCAGTTAGTGAGTCTTGACATTACAAACATTCTGAACAGACCTGGGACTCGCCAAGTAAATAAATATTTATTTATTATTAATTTAAATCTTGATGAATTTGCTGAGAACCAGTAAAAGATTTGATGTACGTTTCCTGGTTTCAAGTAAAATAATGTGTTTGTTGTCTCAGAAACAGACATGTTTTGTTTGTCCATCAAATATCATGTACCACCAGTGGCTATTACGAGTTATGTCCTTCCATGTCCCTCCTATTGCCCAATCAGATTCCATATCACTTGCATTTGCTTCAAACAAAATCGAGGCGCCCAGTCAAGATGATCTGATCGATAATCAAAATCTATCGTGTGATAAAATGGTCTTGCTTCATGACATTCATCAAATCATGTGAGCACCTTGATTAAAAATTATGAAAATATTTGGAAAATATCTGTTGAGTCCTCATGCTTTGTAAATCCTGCAATTGAGCGAAATGTGCATGGCAGTTTACAAACCAGGTGTCTATTTTGTTACGAGATTTTGATTGGACTATGCATAGAGTCGTTAGCCCAGCCAAATATAACTCCGTAATTCAAGCCTAGTTCGGGAAGGATGGAAACTGTAATAGTCTGTTAACTCACGAGCCTTGGGAAGAACGAAGTGTAGGGATGTGGATACCAGAGTTTAAAAACTCATAATTAATTATAGTGTGTTTGCAGTAACTAATCCTGGGTTATAAATGCCTATCTGACATTCTGGATATTCAGTTATCCAGACATGACTGTAGAACATGTGATGGCAGTAAGATCAGCGAAGTTTTGTTTGTTTGTTTGTTGTTTAACGCCGCACTCAGCAATATTCCAGCTATATGACGGCGGTCTGTAAATAATCGAGTCTGGACCAGACAATCCAGTGATTGACAGCATGAACATCGATCCACACAATTGGGACCGATGACATGTATCAACCAAGATCAGCGAAGTCATCACCATGACTACAGTTCCTGCCACAAAAGGGACTGAACCTGGGTCTCCTGCCTGAAGAGACAAACAACTCCTCTCTACCCATCTCCTGTCAGATTCCAGGGACAGACTTTTTGACCCCGACCTTTTCATTGATTGAAAAATGCTCATTTCAGTTTCTGAGGCCCAGGGGTATCTTGTGAATAATACTGTGCATTAAGCATGTTAATTTACTATGTATTTGTACTTGTGTGAAAGCATATTGATCGCTGACTAAAAACTATATGTTTTTTTTGTTAAATAAAGATATATGAAGTGTGGCCTTTAGTCGCAGGGAACTTATTGCAAAAGTGGCATTGAGATTATCTGGGACTCTCAGGAATGTCACATTTTAGTACTGGAGCTGGACTATTACAGAGACCGAAGCATCACAGGACTTGCTGACTGTCTTGGAATAATGTTTATAATCTGTTGTCTACAGCAGGTACAGGTGACACAGCTGTAATTGAAGCATGTCTGTTTCAAGGCTATGCTGCAACTCAGGATACCAGCTGTTGTTAATTACGTACATATCAATAATGTATACAATCAATGAAGGATGAGTTGAGGAAGGACAGGGCTTACCTGTTCTGTCGACTGAGCTGCCGCCACTCTGGACACAGGCCAGGCTGACAGTACTCGATGACGGCACTGAAATAAACAATGACAGGAGATGTCAAACCATACATGCCACATCATGTCACTTCTGAAACTGCATGGCTGACAGTACTTGATGGTTACATATGCAGGTGAATGAATGTTGTCTTACAATGCAGTCCAGCTATATCACATCAGCATGTAAAACGTTTCAGTCTGGACCAGGAAACCAGTGGCATGAAGACACACAATGGGGGCATGAAGACACACAATGAGGGCATGAAGACACACACGCAGGGCATAAAGACACAGTATCAGGGATGAAGACACATCAGGGAATGAAGACACACACTCAGGGCATGAAGACACACAATCAGGGCATAAAGACACACATCAGGGCATGAAGACACACAATCAGGGCCTGAAGACACACAATCAGGGCCTGAAGACACACAATCAGGGCATGAGGACACATGATCAGGGCATAAAGACACACAATCAGGGCATAAAGACACACTCAGGGCATGATGACACACAATCAGGGCATGAAGACACACAATCAGGGCATAAAGACACACATCAGGGCATAAAGACACACAATCAGGGCATAAAGACACATTCAGGGCATGAAGACACAATCAGGGCATAAAGACACACAATCATGGCATAAAGACGCACAATCATATCATAAAGACACACTATGAGGGTATAAAGACACACAATCAGGGCATGAAGACACACAATCAGGGCATGAAGACACACAATCAGGGCATGACACACAATCATGGCATAAAGACACACAATCATATCATAAAGACACACTATGAGGGAATAAAGACACACACTCAGGGCCTGAAGACACACAATCAGGGTATTAAGACACACAATCAGGGCATGAAGACACACAATCAGGGCATGAAGACACACAATCAGGGTATGAAGACACTCAGGGCATGATGACAAAATCAGGATATGAAGACACACACTCAGGGCATGAAGACACATGATCAGGGCATGTATCACACGCAGGGCATGATGACACATGACCAGGGCATGAATACACACACGCAGGGCATGAAGGAACACACTCAGGGCATGAAGACACACAATCAGGGCATGATGACACATGATCAGGGCATGAAAACACACAATCAGGGCATGAAGACACACTCAGGGCATGAAGACACACAATCAGGGCATGTAACACATGCAGGGCATGATGACACATGATCAGGGCATGAAGACACAATCAGGGCATAAAGACACACAATCAGGGTATAAAGACACACTCAGGGCATGATGACACACAATCAGGGCATGAAGACACACAATCAGGGCGTAAAGACACACAATCAGGGCATGGTGACACACAATCAGGGCATGAAGACACACAATAAGGGCATAAAGACACACAACCAGGGCATGAAGACACACAATCATGGCATAAAGACACACAATCATATCATAAAGACACACTATGAGGGTATAAAGACACACAATCAGGGCATGAAGACACACAATCAGGGCATGAAGACACACAATCAGGGCATGTAGACACACAATCAGGGCATAAAGACACACAATCAGGGCATAAAGACACACAATCATCGCATAAAGACACACAATCATATCATAAACACACACTATGAGGGTATAAAGACATACACTCAGGGCCTGAAGACACACAATCAGGGCATTAAGACACACAATCAGGGCATGAAGACACACAATCAGGGCATGAAGACACACGATCAGGGTATGAAGACACTCAGGGCATGATTACAAAATCAGGATATGAAGACACACACTCAGGGCATGAAGACACATGATCAGGGCATGTATCACACGCAGGGCATGATGACACATGACCAGGGCATGAAGACACACACTCAGGGCATGAAGACACACAATCAGGGCATGATGACACATGATCAGGGCATGAAGACACACAATCAGGGCATGAAGACACACTCAGGGCATGAAGACACACAATCAGGGCATGTAACACATGCAGGGCATGATGACACATGATCAGGGCATGAAGACACACAATCAGGGCATAAAGACACACAATCAGGGTATAAAGACACACTCAGGGCATGATGACACACAATCAGGGCATGTAGACACACAATCAGGGCGTAAAGACACACAATCAGGGCATAAAGACACACAATCAGGGCATGATGACACACAGTCAGGGCATGAAGACAAACAATCAGGACATGACAAACACGCAGGGCATAAAAAACACAATCAGGGTATAAAGACACACAATCAGCGCATGAAGACACACAATCAGGGCATAAAGACACACAATCAGGGCATAAAGACACACAATCAGGGCCTGAAGAACCACAATCAGGGCATGAAGACACACAATCAGGGCATGGTGACACACAATCAGGGCATGAAGAACCAAAGTCAGGGCATGGTGACACACAATCAGGGCATGTAGACACACAATCAGGGCATGAAGACACAATCAGGGCATAACGACACACTCAGGGCATGAAGACACACAATCAGGGCATGTAACACATGCAGGGCATGATGACACATGATCAGGGCATGAAGACACACAATCAGGGCATGAAGACACACAATCAGGGTATAAAGACACACAATCGGGGCATAAAGACACACAATCAGGGTATAAAGACACACAATCAGGGTATGAAGACACTCAAGGCATGATAACACAATCAGGATATGAAGACACACACTCAGGGCATGAAGACAAACCAGGGCATGATGACCTACAATCAGGGCATGACAACACACAATCAGGGCATGAAGACACAAATCAGGGCATGACAACACACAATCAGGGCATGAAGACACTCACTCAGGGCATGATGACATACAATCAGGGCATGACAAAACCTGGTGACACATTACAGTCACCAGATCCTCCTTAGAATGTTCTGACAATAAACACGGCATACTGAGGTCTATTCTGTAAGTTTCAATTTTATTGAATATGAAATACATTGCTAAACATGTCCTCAATTTCAATCTTTTTTTCTGTTCTAAAGAGTGGAAGCTCACTGCCAACTTCGTCAGTGTGTCGCGTCGGTTACACCCTGCATTGTATAGGCCATCATGATATCCCAGTTTACAGACAAACACCCCAACAACAACAACGAAACATTGTACAATGATTTACTCCATCCAGATTATTATAGCCAAGCCCTTTTTCACTGCATGAGCTTCTACTTCTGCGCTTAGAGTGCATGATCAGCTTTTCAATTTCATTTTTATTTGAGTTCTATTTTACACTGGAAAGCAAATCCCAGAAAAGGGAGATCCAGTTATCCTGACCATGTTGTTTTTGTTTCGTGTCTTATGAAACACTTTCCAGACACCCTTTCTATACTATCCAAAAGAAGTTAGAGACAACCCGATTCTTCATACGACAGTAAACATGGCATGACAGATTACTGATAGTATTTTTATAGAATCAGGTGGTCCTTAACTTCTTTTGAGTAGTATAATATCATGTAAAAAATAAAATGCAAACAAAACAAAACTACACTCAAGGCTGATCTTGCACCTGCATGCTGAGAGTGAGGTGTCACACCCCGCCATATTCAAGTCATATCCTATGTGTGGACCGAAGTAACTACTTGCCCGCCTGCCCATGGCTGCTAACTTTTGTGTCGGGCTGCATGAAATTTTCCTCCACCTCCCCAACTGTCTGGCAGATAAGTTTAAGACTACTTACATATTCAGTAAAACTAACTCCTTGTAATTTCTCAAGATATTGTTTACGTTATTTCAACTGAATCAAGACGTAATTTGTCTCTTGTCTTTTGCGATTCTTCAATATTATTAATGTGTGAATGAGGGCAGGTAACTTTGAAGATGGGCAGGCAAAATTTATGGGTCACCTGCCCAACTGTCTTGCTGCATTTTGAAATTATTCTAAACACTGGAGATGGCACCTGAACAGCTTCACACATTGTACTCCAGTGGGGAATCAAACCCGGGACTTCAGCGTGTTGAGGCAACACTCCACCCACTCTGCCACCCATTACTGTCCCTTCCAACAACATGTGTTAAATACTCTAAGTCTGAGTACAACTTACTGTAGATTGACGCCATCGTTCCAGTCGGATGTGAAGTTTGTAATGTGACAGTCTGGTACCACTGCCTTCAGCCATGCTAACATCAACTTCTTCGGAGGGAACTTGGTTTTACCGATCTGGTATCGCAGAATCAGATGCCATATGAGGCCAAGGATCAACTTGAGACTGCCATTCACGATGTCTTCACTTCCTGTAAATGGAATCATGGGATACTTAGCCACAGAGTTAACCACAATACAACATCATTTAAGATACATCTGCTCTGAAGCAAAAACATTATGAAGTCAAATAAGGACTGTAGTGATTTAGCAAAGTGCTGGTGCTGTTCGGAGCACAGTAACAGTGTGTAATGTCATGTACAAGATGTACCGACAGTGTTACATGTACACTTTTAAAATACTCTGATGGTAGACACAAAGTTGTTGTCACCAGTAGCTTAATTAACTTATGTTTCCTAAATATGTTTCTGCTTTTTTCAAGGTGTTCTCTTCCATTTAAGAAGGGTTGATCTTTCTTGTGTGGTGTTGTTCATCAAGTCATCACCTGCCTGTCCTCGATGGAGCGTAGCATATCATCTTTCTCTTATGTGCCCACTCTCTGCCAATGCTTCATCTGGAAGCTCCATCTCGCTGATCATTAACTCAGCACAAAACATCTCTAGCTCAGTAGATTAAAATCAACAACCAATCAAAACACCTCTTCTAAACAACACACTCGTAAAGCTCCGGGGTAGAATAGGTTTTCAACAACCCATGCTTGCAGTAAAAGACGACTATACTTGTTGTAAGAGGCGACTAACAGCATCAGGTGGTCAGGATCGCTGACTTGGTTGATGCACGTCATCGCATCCAAATTGCGTGGATCGATGCTTATGATGGCAATCACTGGATTGTCTGGTCCAGACTTAATTATTTATTTACAGACCGCCGTCATATAGCTGTAATATTGTGGAGTGTGGCATAAAACAACAAACAATCAAATCTGATCAACAGACCATCATGAGTACAAAGATGAAGGATGGAAGTCCTTATGTACAAGACCAATCGGTTGTTTCAAGACAACATGCATACGTTGTGTCATGTCGAGTACGGGTGACACCCTATCATCAAAGAACAGTGGAATTTAATTGGACATCTTGTATGTCTTGAATTGAAACATGGTATGGTGGCAAATGTAGGCCTAAAATGGAGGCACTGGATAATGAAGCATGCAGCCTGGCCAGATGCTTATTGCCTGAGTCATGCCTTACTGTACAACAACCGTCAGAACAACCATTCATGCAGTGTTCATTTCAGAAATAGGAAACATTGGTCCCAATGACCCTCCCTACCTTTCCAAGATTTGGGGGCATTTGATGAAACCAGTGGACACACAAATGTTCAAAACAATTCAATAAACTTGGCCCCTTTGTCTGCTTTTGTTTCTCAGACTCCATGACAAGCTGATGGCCACATGTGACAGGGATATGCAATCGGACATGAACGTTTAAAGCCATTTGGGCCTCGTACTTGATCCAGCCCATCAAAACATGTGTTACATTGCAATGGTCAGTTCATGCAGAACACATCATCACTGAATGCTAACTGAAGAATTTTGAGGCTACAATATATGATAAATATATTCCAGTTGCAAAAATGTGCTTACATCTGTTTTTGACAAAGGAAAATTTGTGTTGAATGAAAGTCAGTAGTTGAGAGTACAATCTTTTAGTCTTTGATTATAATGTTGTTGTTTTTTCTTGCGCCATTAAGGAATTTTGGGTGCAGAAGTCCTCAAAGTTGCATTATGAAATGAATATTGTTAATGTGACCAACCGTGAGAAGGCACTGTCATCCACAAACACAGCTCCTCCCGCGTGACCTTGTTCATATATTCAAACCTCTGTTATATGTCTTAAGAGACCAAATCGGATCGGTTGCGCGACGTAGGCCTCCTTCGAGTTCACGGGGCTGGTATAAATATCCTACTCTTACTCTATCCGCAAGTTTTTGTTCTTTGCCTCTCCTCGGTGCTGAAGATTCGGAAGTCACAGATTTCATTTTAATCACATCGGATGGTTTCTTCCCGATTAATTCGTTACTTCATTATTCAGCGCTGATACAACAGCTGATAATCATGTCACCCATTCGGTTGATCTCAATCTTTCCAAGTGACACAAAATTAACAATATTTCAGTAGTAAAATAACTGATGAAATAATCAATATGCATCACACCATGAAACTATGTCCTCCAGCAACACAGTACAAGAAACAACAACATTAAATACAGGACGTTCTTAGAGAATCAATCAAGTTGCGAAACAGTCTCATTATGTGTAGTCGCTCATGCGTGAACGCAACTAATTACCTGTAATGGACATTTAAAGTGAGACTGTCTTCAATGATAATCTAAAACACTGTCATTAGTGGCTTGCAGGAAATTGAATGTCTGTCGGTAACTTGAGCAATCAGCCATTATCATATTGATCATGTTGATCTGAAGTTGGCATTTTGTTGGAGTGACTTGATGAAAACTTGTTTTGATTGCCAATTAGACCATGCTTAAAGCGTTTTATGGTGTTTGTGTTATTTTGGAGATAACATGGTTTACGACTGATACTTTTCTTAAAAAGGTTATTCAAACATCCAATTATTAGACACCTCATTATGGTGGTATTTGATTGAGTACTGGTCAAAAGATACTGTACAGCATGCAACGTTACCATGATTAAAACACCATAACTATCACAACGTCAAGCATGCCAGTAATCTGTAATTGTTGAACATTGAACATGGAGATCAGTTTAACAAGTTTAAATTTGATTCATTGAATTGACAACCACACAAGAATATAGAGAGGGAGTTAACATAGATTCTTTGTAGGTGTGCAAATGCAAATAGTTGGGGTATAAAAGTTTCAATGAAATTAAAGAAGTACATACTTTCTTCGAAAGTGATTCACATTGACAAATTCAGATTATCTCAAACATAAAGTTGCCAATCACCTTCATCATCAAAACTATCATCATTGCCGTTATCATCATGATCATCATCATCATCATCAATTATCATCATGATTCAGAATGATATTGAAAATTACAAAATCTAATCATTTCATCTTTTCATCATGTTCATATAAAATATATCAGTATTTTTAAATAATAGTAGCAAAAAAGACCCATCTCACGCTGCTAATATGCTAACTTTTGATGATAAATCAGACACTACAAGACATAGCACTGTAATATCCTAATCCTTGGACAGCCTGGAGAAGTAAAACCTGAAGTTTTAGCCACATCAGCATTATTCCAGGGTTGTGCAGTGTCATGCCATGCATGACAGTCATACTGGAGTGAGTCATGACACCTTCCATGTGACCCCCGATGGGTATTTGTTCACTTCCTTACTCGTTCATCCCACACCCTTATCATGTTTATACAAATCCTAGATCTTCCACTGGAATACCACATATTACCACCCTGCCCATCCATCATATCCTGTCATACAAGGGACATTTATAGGTCACACATTAATCAAGCAGAAATACGTCACAACGTCCAACACCCACAGTCACAGTGTACCCTCACATAGACAGGACGGTGAGGTGAAATTGGGTTTAACGTCGCATCCAAGATTATTGCATTATTATAGCGACGTGCATGCACGCTGCTTGTACTAGTCCAGACTGATTCTGATTTATAGTGCTAGCACACTGAGATACCATGCCGCAGTTTAACATGAATACCCCATTCAGACACTGTATACTGACTCAGAGCCAACCAGTCCTTGTTTTAGCCCCTTAATGCTGAGCGCCAGACAGGGTAAGAACAAGTACCATCTTTTAACGTCTTTTGGTATGACACAGCCGGGGATCGAATCCCGGACCTTCCGCTCTCCGGGCGGACACTCTAACCGGACAGAGGGGAATGACACCTAAAACGCCCATCAAACAGAGGCTGAAACAGATAGTTGCCTACAATGAAGTAATAACAGTGCTTCAGACTGCCAGGGGCACCAGCCACTGACCCATGTAGAAACATATGACCCCATTCAGGACAACATGGCCCCCTTGGGCACATTTCTAAACAAAGCCCTCGTTGTCACTGGTAATGGCCTACTTAACCTGTATGCATTCAAGCTAATACTCCGTATAATAAACTGTTACATCTTGTTGAGATCAGCCCCTGGCTCCTGTCCTGAGAGAAGTACTGTAATAAACTGTTAAATCTTCTCCAGACAGGGTAGTTGTCAGATCAGCCCCTGGCTCCTGTCCTGAGAGAAGCACTGTAATAAACTGTTAAATCTTCTCCAGACAGGGTAGTTGTCAGATCAGCCCCTGGCTCCTGTCCTGAGAGAAGCACTGTAATAAACTGTTAAATCTTCTCCAGACAGGGTAGTTGTCAGATCAGCCCCTGGCTCCTGTCCTGAGAGAAGTACTGTAATAAACTGTTAAATCTTCTCCAGACAGGGTAGTTGTCAGATCAGCCCCTGGCTCCTGTCCTGAGAGAAGCACTGTAATAAACTGTTAAATCTTCTCCAGACAGGGTAGTTGTCAGATCAACCCCTGCCTCCTGTCCTGAGAGAAGCACTGTAATAAACTGTTAAATCTTCTCCAGACAGGGTAGTTGTCAGATCAACCCCTGGCTCCAGTCCTGAGAGAAGCACTGTAATAAACTGTTAAATCTTCTCCAGACAGGGTAGTTGTCAGATCAGCCCCTGGCTCCTGTCCTGAGAGAAGCACTGTAATAAACTGTTAAATCTTCTCCAGACAGGGTAGTTGTCAGATCAGCCCCTGGCTCCTGTCCTGAGAGAAGCACTGTAATAAACTGTTAAATCTTCTCCAGACAGGGTAGTTGTCAGATCAGCCCCTGGCTCCTGTCCTGAGAGAAGCACTGTAATAAACTGTTAAATCTTCTCCAGACAGGGTAGTTGTCAGATCAACCCCTGGCTCCAGTCCTGAGAGAAGCACTGTAATAAACTGTTAAATCTTCTCCAGACAGGGTAGTTGTCAGATCAGCCCCTGGCTCCTGTCCTGATAGAAGCACTTTAGGATACTCCTAACAGAACAGATGACACAAAGTTCTCCAGTTGATATGAATGTGACCAGTTTCCCGTTTTACAAAGGGACTGTAGTCCCAATAGTCATTACCCAAAGACTGCTTGGTGGGGAGCGTCCAAAGTCAGGGGAGATTTTGATCACATAACATCCAT